TAAACCCATGTACTGTTTGGTTGATGGGTTAGTAGATAGTGTAAAGTCTGTAACAATCATAAAATTCACAAAAACATCTGTGAGGATCCAACACAAAAAGGAGGATCCCCAGGTTCCAAATCCCAGTACACATCCACCACTGTGCTGCCCTTTCTTGATGGACTACCATCAAGGGGCAAATTTCAGCCTATTCTATACTATTCCAAAGACCACCAGCCTCTCATTCTTTATTTAAGAAGTTTGCATTGGGTCTCTCATGTAGCTACTCCTGTTGAGTCACCTGTGATGTGGTGGGATTTGAATCTGGTTCTCTCAGCTCTTCAAAAACTGCCTTTTGAACCCATCAGCAATATTCTCTTTTCTACTCTAACCCACCAGGTTACTGTAAGTGTTGGCATCATGGTCACCTCTGCGAGGTGTGTGTCTGAGGTGACAGCCCTATCTTACAAACAAACCTACCTGGTCTCATACAAGAATAAAGTGGTGTTGAGGCTTAGAGCCTCATTTCTTCCTAAGGTTTCCACCTTTCACCTCTGTCCAGCTCCAGTACATTGGAATTTCCACTGCCTTGATGTAGTTAGTGCTCTCTGGGTTTACTTCTGAAGCCACTGCTCACACTAGGAAGACTCTTTTAAAGTCTAAAGTAGGCTATACACACACATCTCATTTCGGCTGGTTCATTAAGAACCGTCTGAAAATCAGTGTGTGGGTGCCGCTGTCGGCACCCTTCCTACCGGCATCCCTCTATCAGCTGATCGAAGGAGCATGTCAGAAAATTCTTGACTGAACAGAGTGAGGAAGCCAATCAGGTGCTATCTCTGCGCAGGTATGCTGACAGCGCCCGTAGACAGAATACAAAAGAAAACAGCAGAAGATTCCTCGATTAGCGCTCCTAAGCATTGATGGAGGAATCAGTGATTTTTTTTTTCTCATTCAGCCTGCAGGCTGAACGAAGAAACTGTGTGTTTATCCCCAAGTTTAGATGGAGGGCCCCACTATTTCTACAAAGACCATTGTACAAGCTTCTAATCCTAAAGACAAGGTTTCACCTTCTCCTGTCAGAGTGCACACTACTACATCTGCAAGGGGTTTTTGGCATCAGGATATAAAAAGTCTACACCCCCCTGTAAAAATACCGGGTTTTCGAGATGTAAAAAAGATAAATCACTTCAGAGTTTTTTCCACCTTTAATGTGACCTAAAATCTGAAAACTAAAATTGTTTGGTGGGAGGGGAATAAATGATGCGGCTGCATAAGTGTACACACCCCTTATAATTATGGATATGTGTTCAGAATTAACCTGAGGTTAACCACATTCAAACTGATGTTAAACAGTAGTCAGTACCTACCTGCCACCAATTAAAGTGACTCTGATTAAGCCCATAAGTTCAGCTATTGTAGTCGGATTTTTTTGACTGTTAAAGTTGGCCTTACACCTTTTTTTCTATGGTCAGATGGAAAAAGTGCAACAGATTCCTCCATCTATACTAAACTGTGCCTACATCCAATCAGATTGTTCAGGTATTTTGAGAGCCAGCGGGGCCGGCTAGCAAGATACTGAAGCTTGGCCCAGTGGGAGATTTCTCCATCCACACAGTTTAGCGTAGATGGAGAAATCTGTTGCACATTTACCATCTGACCATAGAAAATCTGCAGATAATTTATAGGTGTATGGCCAGCTTTACTCAGTTGCTTCTTACAGCAAAAGTCAAGGTTCACAAAGATTTTACAAAGCATCAAAGGGATCTCATTGTAGCAAGCTATCAGTCAGGACAAGGGTACAAAAAAAAGTTTCCAAGGCATCAGTCATCAACAGGTGGAAAAAATATGGCACAGCAGCGACATTACCAAAACAAGGACATTCCTCTAAAATAGATTTTTTTTAAAAAGGAGGAAAACCGGTCTAGGAGGCTGCCAAGAGGCCTTCAGCAACATTAACAGCTGCAGAAAATGTCTGGCAAGTACTGGTTGTGTACTACATGTGACAATCTCCTGTATTCTTCATATGTCTGGACTGTGGGATAGGGTGTCAAGACGGAAGCATTTTCTTACTACATTTTGGAAGAACCTACATCAAGTCTGACAAAATCATGTGGAAAAATGTCTTCTGGTCTGATGAGCAAGACTGCACTTTTTGTGGCCATAATTGCCAAGTATGTTTGGAGCAAAAATAACAGAGCATCACTAAAAGAGCACCATACCCACAGTGAAGCAGCATTATGCTTTAGGGGCTGTTTTTCTTCAGCTGGAACTGGGGGTTTAGTCAAGGTGTGTGTGTGTGTGTGTGTGTGTGTGTGTGTGTGTGGGGTGGGGGCACTTATGAATAGTTCCAAATATCAGTCAGTTTTGGCAAAAAAAACATCCGGCCTCTGCAAAAATGCTGAAGATGAAGAGGAATGTCCCCTTCAGCACAACGGCCCAATGCATACCTCCAAATCAACAAAAAAAATGGCTTCATGAGAAGATGATCAAAGTTTTGGAATGGCCCAGCCTGACCAGAAGTGGGCTATGCACAGGAGATGTCTGACAGATTTGGAGCGCTTTTGCAAGGAAGAGTGGGCAAAGATACTTATTGCAAGATGCACCATGCTGATAGACTCGTACCCCCAAAGACTGAATGCTGTCACTAAAAATGCTTCAAATTAAGTATTATTTTAGGGTGTGCGTTTTTATGCAACAACATCCACAACTAAGTGGCTAGCAAGGACAGCTGCATCCTTAGACTTAAGCCTAGTCCATTTCCTTAAGGTTTGATAATGGACATCATGATGATGGCAGGTTGCATGGCTGAGCCTGCCAAATAAAACAAGGAGGTACAATCAGTGTTTTTTAAAGGCATGGATATAGCCGGATCCATGGGAGTGACAGCGCACTTCTTAACAAAGTCTTGTCACACAGATATTGGTAAGTAAAACATTTTAGGAGTGAATAACTTATCAGGGTTTGTCCAGTCTCTATACAGAGCAGGTTCAATTCACTTGTTTTGATAGTCTCGGAACCTCTCGGGCATCTCAGACTAGCAACAACACTAGTACCAGCCTCAAGCTTTTGCAATTTTACGCTGACTCTTCTATTTTTCTCCATACAATCAAGCATAGGGGTAGAGAATTACTCCCTGGATATGGCAGAGGAGGGGGCCACACCTTATGGAGCTAAGGGAGACTCTGAGTAGTGTGTGGACTTAGACAGCCTGGATAGTTGTCTCCTGCTTGTTTCAATTCACCTTGGGAGGAACACTGCAGGCTGCCCTGGAACTGTTATTGGATCGTGAGCTGGAGAGATCTGAAGGAGCAGGACTTCACCCCTTGCACTTGGGATCCAACATGTTGCACTGCTAGACTGAGGCAGCTTAATTAAGGGCACCAAG